CTCCCACTCTGCAGAATCTGTTAGTTCAATCTCTAACGTTCTGCTCTCTCTGCTTTTTCTCATAGTAGCTTCATCTGGTCTGTTCCTGTTTGGCTGTGACTCCATCCTGGAGAGAAATATCAGCTGTGCTGCTGCCATCAACACCTTTGTTTCTAGATGTTGGAGCTTGGCCTGTTTTCCAGTGTAGTCCTGTTTCTCTGACTGTGACTAACTGGATGTGCTCTCTTCATCCTCTGACATGGGAGCTGGCTCGGAGCTCGTCTGCCTGGCTGTGTGTTTCCTGGACGGGGCCGCCTGTGGAGCTGGTTGACAGTTGCCTTTTGTATCTATGCTTCTTTTTCTATGTCTGCTTCTGTCTCCTTGAACCCCAGTGGGCCTCAGCAGATGGCCGCTCACACTGAGCCTGGTTCTGCTGGAGGTTTCTTCCTGTTCAAAGGGAGTTTTTCCTCTCCACTGTCGCTACAAGCATGCTTAGTGTGAGGGATTGCTGAAGAGTCAATGAGTCGATGCAATCAGCTGGTTTTCCTTAGAAACTTTGAATCAATCTGACTGTATGATCTGGTTGAACTGTAAAGTGCCTTGAGATGACATGATGTGAATTTGGCGCTATAGAAATAAACTGAATTGAATTTTTACAAGAAAGCTGAGCTAACCGATGACAGCTGTGTGAATGTTGTCAGATGAGTTCATCAGGGACCAGTTCACACTCTGCTCATATTTATTTTGCATATTGACAAACTTGATGTTTCTACTTCCAACAACCTTTTTATGCTGAAAATATAGCAATTTATTTAGTTTCAGCCGTTCAGCATAGATCCTGTTTTTTTTTTTCATTATACATTATAATAAATTTGTATGAAAAAGCTCAACTTGATCAAATTTAGAACTGAAAAGCAAACTAACAGGTTCTTAAAATCAATTAGTCTTCAAATCTGACTATCAATCTTTTTTTTCCAGGATGAGGAATATTTATACTTGACCAAATATAATTAAACCTTAATTAATTAAAGGCCCCTTCATTTATTATCTATGCCTGCTTATCTTTGGAGAGCTGCAGTGGAGCTGATGCACATCACCTGCAGTAAGCAGTAAAAAATGAAGTGCTTTCTGTACAGGTTGCCAATCTAGCACAGTGCAAAAGAGAAGGAATGGAAGCAAATAAATGGAAAGAGGAGATCAGAATCAAAAAGTGCAGAAATGGACCTGGAACAGTCCTTTACTGTTACTCCTTTAAGAGTCCCAAAGCAATGCCTAACGCTCAGGGACTCCAATGAACCAATGAGTGAAGCGATATCTAGAAGCAAAAGAAACAGAGATGTTCCCCAACAATTTGTTGAATATTTTTGAAGAAATGCAAAGACGACAGGTGTGCATCTCATAACATATGGAATAAAACTAATAAAGTTCACAAAAAAGATGAAAACAATTCTGGAAGTCAAAAAAGTTGGTTGTAAAAAGATTATCTTTGTTGTACCAACCAAAAATAAAAAATCTGTTACAAGAATGTCTGGCAATTTATCCTTTACTTAAGCTCATGTCCATTTGAATTATTACAATTAATCATCCAGTCATAAATGCACAAGCACTTCAAAATAAATATTTAGGGGGCTTAGTCAAAGTCCAGACTTTTGCATTAAGCTGCTGTGGCAGATTTTAAATGGACCTTTCCAGAATGAAATCCCTCCAATATGGCTGAATCAAAACAAATCGTAGAGTAAACTATTCCTATCAGGGTAACTAAAAGGTTTGAAGGCAGTTGCTGTTCCTAAAAGTGGAACAACTAGTTTAGGAAGTAATTATTTGAAAAATTCATTTTGAATTTATCTTTTTGGCTTAAAAAAACTACAGTTTTATTGATTGAATAGTTTTAGATGGAGAGAGAGTCTATGTAGATTCACTGACTCAGCTCGGCGCAGGCAAGGACTCGTCCGCGCGTAGTCACGCCAATGTGCTTATACGTGCGCTCCGTTCCCTTCAGGATCCAACCAAGGCAGCAAACCTACATTCCGACTCCTGCCTGCGGCGTACACTGTTCACGTCTCTACTCAGCCAGAGAAGCAGAGACCAACTGAGACATGGCGGGGGGGTGGTGGGGGTAATGTGGCAAATAAAGTAAGAATCATCGGCATAGAGGAGGTCAAGAGAGACACCTGCATACCAGAGGGGCAGACAACTCAAATTTCCACTTCACACACATTCCCTGGAAGGCTTGAGGAGCTCCAGAGGCAGAATGCAGGTGAAGGAGGGGGGGGTGAGTACATGCCACTGCCTGCACCTGTGCTAACTGACACCACATGTTGGGACTCAAATGGTTTTCCTAGAAGGCCTTAAGCTCCCTGATCTTACCGTGTAACGCCGCTTCATGAGACGGCAGCTGACTATAGAAAGGCACCGAGAGGGAAAGGAAAAGACAGAAAACGTGGGGAGAAAAGGGCTCATTCGTCCCGGAGAAATGGGAATAGCTTCCTCCTCTCCATGTTCGAACGAGCCTTACTTTCTAGGAGCAGCTGAACACCAGCGGAACAGACAGCTACGTTCCTACTGGAATTTGCTTCCCAGCCACACCTGTAACAAACACACCCCGAGAACCTGGCCTCTCGCATCCCACTGGCTGATCTGCCCCGTGACTGACAGCGGTGAGAACATTTTGGCTCAAGTGCTCAAGAATTGAGGGGCAGGTATGGTGAGTTCTAAGTGGTAACCAATGGCAGAGGAGAGACGTCTGTGAGCCAGGCGGGGCTCCGGTGAAATAAAACTCATCAATGGGGTGTGTCCCCAAAGTTTGTCAGCAGGCGAACAGAGAAGGGCCCGGTGTTGCTGGAACCAGCTTTGTCTGCTTAGAGCGGAGCCAGTCCTTTAAAACGTGGGAACCCGAGGGACTGGCGGAGATGGATACCTCATTGACTCTGAAGAAGGATGGGGCTTGGAGGATAGGGATGGTTGAGTTTGGAAACCTCTGCTTGGACTCTCTTAACTCCTCTCATCTCAGAGACAACAGGAACTCCATGCTGCTATCACAGAGAGTAAACAGATGCTGCTGCTGTTCTGTGGTCACCCACATCTCCTTATCACTTTTCCAGCCCAGCTTTAGGTACTGTATCCGTTGGACGGAGAACTGATAAGGGCATGTGCCTGACATTCCCTTCAGGTCGGTTCTGGAGAGCAGACTTAGCTTGTGGAGACATTTCTGGGCTTATTTACCCCAGATGACGATGAATGAAGGCTAGCTTTTAAGGTTCAAACTCTATCTCCGTTAACCTTTGTAAAACTTTTCAGAATGATTTAAGTGTTAGTTTGAGTTGAAAGACCTGGTTTTTTTTTTGTTTTTTTTTTACATTTTGAGATATCAAAAGTATTAATGTTTACTACTTCAGTAGAAGTATAAATCCTACTGTCTAAAAACACTTTTATAGAAGTTAGATGATCAACTTATAAAATTTACATTTTTAAACTACTTAAAGTATAAAAATAATGCAGGAAAAACATGTTAAGGAGAGAATCTTAACTGCACCACACTATTAAATCAGCATTTTTGTACAATTCTGGATAACTTCCTTAGACTTCATTTTCTTAGTTTTATAACAATTGGTAATAGTGTCAAATTTAACTTTGCAAACTATTTATTTTGGTATGTGGTGAACAACAAGTTGGGGCAGCACCGAATCCAACCACAAAGAAATACTTAATTGTCTGGATAAAAACAATTATTTTTGATGTATTTTTTGTTGTTGATATATATACCAAAAGGCCATAACGAATCTGGGCTTAAATGAAAAAAAAAAAAAAAAATGTATGAGTCTATTTCTAAAATGTAAGGAGTAGAAGTTAGAAGTTGTCTAAAAATAACGACTCCAGTAAAGTACAGATAACCAAAACATTTCTACTTAAGTTGACTAACAAAGTATTAATACTTTGTTAGTCAACTTTGCAAAGCAGAAGTTTCCTGTAACAGCCTGACATGATGCAGCATGGCCGACATAAACCGCTAACTGTTTGCTGTGGTGAGTAATTTCACTGCGTTGTTACATTCTGACTGAGCTCAGCAGTTTTTCATGTGAAGTTTAAAAACTAATCCTAAATTTTATGTTATGATGTAGATCAGGATTCTCATTTAAATAGATGATTTTTTTAAAACCTGGTTTTAAAAAGTGAAACAAAAGTCTTTTTTTTTTTTTTACTTTATTGGTGAGGATATTACAGTGGAAGCGGCTTCATATTGTACGCTTACTTTAGCACCATGTGAGCTTACATAGCATCGTCACACACCGACAGATTTGATCTCGAAGACAAAGAACATCCCAAACATGAACTCAAGCAAAGGTTGAGCTGTTTAATCCTCTTGGTTTCATCTGTTCTTCCTTTCTGCTCTGAGCCCTGCAGCCATTTCCATTCCCAGGATCTCATCTCCTCTGCAGTGCAGCAATCCTCCAAATGCTGTCGGCACAGGTTGGCAGCTACTTTCTTAAACACAACCGGCTTTACTTATGAAACAGACACAGAGCCGAAAATGAAAACCAAAAACTGTCTTTGATGTAGGCTTGTCATTGCTAAATAACATTAAAGAGATTTGAAAGACTTAACTGTCTCTCGTGGTTTTTTTTTTATACATGTTTTAAAGAAACCTAAAGAATAGCATTATGGAATTATCATCGATGAATGGTAAATGCACTACAGCATCTTAATCCTAATTATGTGTGCAGTGGGATGCGTTGATAGCCTGGCGAAGCTGCCTTGGTTTTAGGATAACTACCTCTATGTGAAATGCCAGTTTCCTTATAGGTTCCATGTTTTTAAAAGTTTTTTGATGGCTTTGGCGAAACACTGAACCTTCTGAACTTTCATGATTGGAAGAATGTATGGAGGGAATTTTGTTCTATTATTGTTGCAAAAAAAAAAAAAATTAAATGGAAATTGAGGGGGAAAAATGCAATCCATAAATAAAAAAATAAAAAAACTGAAATCTAAATAAAATGCAATGTAACTTTGCTGTTAGATTACATGTTTTTTTTTTGTTTTTTTTCTTGAATTACCTCCGCCAAGGAAGTTAAGTTTTTTTATGCTTTAGTTTTTGTTTGCTCTTGTCTGTCTGACTGTCTGTTTGCAGGATAACTTGAAAAGTAATAAATAGATTTCAAGGAAATTTTTAACAAAGATGCATCTTAGTCGAAGGAACAATCCATGCAAAATGTGGTGATGATCAACATCATTACCCGGATGCAGGAACATTTTAAAATATTCTTTAACACTATTTGTCGGAACAAGCAGTTCCCCTGAAAACCAAAAGCAGTGACTATTGACAGCCTCATCATCCGACTCAAAACAGTCCAGAAGTATTATACTGCAGACAAAAACACCGGAAATGTGAGCCATCCTCGCTCAAAGTCTCAATTCGCTGATAAAAGTAGAAAGCAGAGTAAATGAAGGAGAGAGCAGAACAAACACCAGAGGCTGCAGACAAACTCTGCCTAATTTATAAACTTATAATAGGAATTTGTTACCAGAGGTGTTTCTCATGCAAAGGAACAATTTATTAAGACTTGCTAATGATCCAGATCCTGTGTGAGTTCTAGTTGTCGGTGGAAAGTCACAATATGGGGGAAAATGTGCTGCTTGGCGGAGGTTTGTGCTTCTGTTCCTTTTGTAAATTTTGTATTTTTCATTTAATTATTTTCAAATTCTATTTTTCAGATTAAGTTTTACATTAAATTAAAAAATAATTAAAAAAATCTGAATACACAATTATAGAGAAAATTTGAAAGAAAGGAAATTCAAAAGTTATTATCTGAAAAAAATAGAAAACTTTTATTTCTGGGTTGCATTTTTTTCTTCAAACTTCATTTGCAAACCGTGCGTTTTGCTTGCAACAATAATGGAACCAAATTCACTCCATAGGTATGCATCGGGAATTGTGTTTTTACTCTAAAACTTTAGGGGTTTAGGATTTTTTTTAAAGTCAGGTGAGGGTTTTTTTTTTTCGCTAGAGAACTTGAAATGTTTCTTCTGTTCTAATGTTGCAGCGGATCAGACTTTATCACATTCATTGCAATGAATCCCATAAAAGCTGGGATAACATTTTCCCTTCTTAATCCCAACCTCAATCCAAAGCTATACGGACCAAAAGTGAGGAGATATCATCTAATCTTCTAGTTAAAACAAGTCTCTAAAATTTTACTTCCCCAACTAATTAGTGTTTTTTTCCTGCAGACCTTTATCTTGTTTATATGAGTATTGACCCAATTTAATGGGACACACGTTTCCTTTGATTTGGCACTTTTAGTCCTGCTTTGGTGACTTCACTAATCTCATAAATCTGCTCATGTGGAGTAGATTACAACATTGTTCCTCCAGTGTGTGGAATTAGTGGCTGATTTCTGTTCAGCTGCCTTCTTAGTTTTCTTTTTGCAGTTTAAAGCTTTTTGATGAGTCGACATTTCCTGAGATTTATGATTAAACATGCATTTAAAACGCACAGTTACATTAGTTAGTTTGAATGTTCCAACGACAATAACACGGTACAAAATCTTATGTTTTGGAGTTTTCAGTCAATGTAACAGAGATTTAGATAACAGTTTGAGAATTAGTGTTTGTAGTGATAAAGGAATAATATGGATTAATTTAGAAGTGCCTCCTGTTTAGCTGGACGATCAGTGGAAGTTTTATTTACCATAACCTCCACAGAAAAACAGTCTTATCTCGTTTTACAGAGTTTTATAAAGTCCAGGGCCGGCCACAAGCATTAGCAAAGTAATTGAGTGCTTAGGGCCCCAGGGCAACTAGGGGCCCTAAGAACAAATAATGGGGGCTGGTTTAATGATTTCTATGTAAATATAGCAACAAAATTTAGATGTATTTTTACATCAAAATAATTACTTATTCACAATGCATATATATAGAGGACTGTGAAAAAAATCAATGCAAGATCTGCAATGAGTTTGTTTTTTGATCATCGGACTGTCCATTGTAGCTACAGATGTGATTGGCCCCAAAATATTTTTTAGAGCCCCATGAGGCTTGGGTCAGCCCTGGTTTCAGTGTGTTTTGTTATTTAAAGAAATAATAGGAAAAGGAGAGGGCTGATGAATTTTGCTGTACCAGATAAAAGTTGTTAGTCGAATAAAGGATTTTGCTTTAGTTGTGTATTTTTGTCCCTTTTGATACAAAACTATATAAAACTACTCTACATAATACAACTACAGTGAACCTGAGATTTAGACGTCATAACAAGGTAACTCGTAAATGCTTTAAAAGGATTAGTAAAAATCTCCAATATCTCCAGAAAGAGACGTTTGGGTTTTTTTTAAAGGGCATTTAGTTTAGTTTTTTTTCTGGGGAGTTTTTTTGTAAGAGCAAAATTTCAAAAGTTAGGATACGCCTGGAATGATTGCTTTAGCTGCTTTAACTAGCATCTCATTTGCTGCAGTGGAATGAAACAGAACCGAAACCCATTCTGCATCCTGTTGTACTTCTGGGTTCTGACATCCCACCGTGTTTTCACTATTATATTCACTCTTACACCAAAAAAAACATGTTGAACACATTTTGTTCATGGTATCAAAATAAAGCTTAGCGCCTCTTTATATCAGGCAAGACTTCACTGGAATAAAGTAAAAATAGTGCAAATAATTGTGCTGAAAGCATCTAAGTGATCCAATATAAATGTAAAAACATCTTAATAAAATGCTTTTCAGTGATTGCAAAAGTGATAATGAATTAAAAGAGCTTTTCCATGTTAAAGGGTGCTACCATCTCCGCTGGTAGGAGGCAGCGAACACGTTTAGGAAAGACCGACCATAGAGGCGCTGAGCTCCCACAGCCTCTTGGCGGCGGCGTCATCCAGAGCTGGAGCCGCTGGCTTTTTGCGAGCGCAGTCGCTGCACAGGAGAACAAATTAAAGAGGAGAACAATGTCAAAATGCTGCAACTACAATGATACGCTGGGAGGTTAAAGCTGGAACCACCATTTCACATAAAAATTAGGGATGGAACGGTTTATGAAAACCGTCCGAACTGTTCGGTTCGACTGTCTCGG